CACACACACACACACACACACACACACACACACACACACACACACACACAGTGGAATATTACTCAGCCATAAAAAAGAATGAAATAATGCGATTTGCAGCAACATGGATGGACCTAGAGATTATCATACTAAGTGAAGTAAGCCAGACAGAGAAAGACAAATATCATATGATATTGCTTATATGTGGAATCTACAAAAAAGATACAAATGAACTTATTTACAATACAGAAATAGACCCACAGACATAGAAAACTAACTTATGGTTACCAAAGGCGAAGGCCGGTGGGTAGGGATAAATTAGGAGTTTGGGATACACACTACTATATGTAAAACAGATAACCAACAAAGACCTACTGTATAGCACAGGGAACTATACTCAATATTTTGTAATAACCTAAAAGGGAAAAGAATGTGAAAAAGAAAAAGCCATATATATACGGCTGAGTCACTTTGCTGTACACCTGAAACTAACACAACATCGTAAATCAACTATACTTCAAAAAGAAAAAAGAACCTGTTACTTGAAGATAGCTACTCTGGTGATATTTTAGAACAACAGTAAATTCAGCACCAGAAATTTAAAAAAGAAGAAGAAGGTCAAGTTAAATGACACTGTGAGAAAGCAATCAGACAACTCCAGAATGTGGGGAGTCTGCCCTTCAGTCTCTTAATTTAGTGGTGAGGAAACTGAAGAATCAAAGACTAAGGAGACATCGCAACCGAAAGTAATGAGCAAAACTTGAAAGATCTTCATTTAAAAAATAAAGCTATAAAAGACTATCTTGGGACTGGAGAAATTTGAAAATGGCAGGAATATGATATTGGCATTAATTTTCTTAGGTGTGATAATGTTATTGTGGATATGTAGAACGGAGAATGTCCTTATTTTTAGGAACTGCATGTTCAAGTATTTAGGAATGAAATGTCATGATGCCTACAGCTTAATTTCAAATGGTTCATCATCACACACACAAAAAATGTATGTATATACAGAGAGAAAACAAACATAGCAGAATGTTAACAGCTGGGACAGCCAGGAAAAGGGTATATAAATTTTCATTGTTGCTTTTTTCAACTTTTCTATAGATTAAAATTTTTCAAAATAAAAAGCAGGGAAAAATAAAATTACAATGGAAAAAATTAAATTAAGGCTTACAGGAATTGCCCACATTCTTATCATAAAGTTCTGTGTAGGAAATATTCCACTGCAGCTCTATTTTAGGGATAAAAATAGATTCCTGGAAACAACCTAAATGTTGTTTAAGGAAATGGATGAACAATTTATGATCCATTCATACAACAGAATAAAGAACCACTGAGAGAGAGACAAACACATACAGATATGACTGTCTTAGACAGAAACTAAGTAGTTAGGAAATAGAATTGGAGAATGAACTTCCGCCATATACTCTTTTATACTTTTTTTTTTTTATTTGGTACGCGGGCCTCTCACTGGTGTGGCCTCTCCCGTTGCGGAGCACAGGCTCCGGACGTGCAGGCTCAGCGGCCGTGGCTCACGGGCCCAGCCGCTCCGCGGCATGTGGGATGTTCCCAGACCGGGGCACGAACCCGTGTCCCCTGCATCGGCGGGCGGATTCTCAACCACTGCGCCACCAGGGAAGCCCTCTTTTGTACTTTTTGAGTTCTGTTCCATGTGAATGTATTTCTCATTAAAAAAATCAAAGCTAAAAATTACTTTAAAAGAATGAGAGCTCTCTATGTGCTGGCCTGGAAAACGGCACAATATAAACTGAAAAAAAGAATTAAGCTGCCAAACAGTATTATTCCAGATGCATTAAAGATACATTTTTCATAATAACTTTCTGGAAGGGTTCATAAAATGTTAACAGTGGTCACCTCTTAGAGTAGGACTAAGAGGTGGGAATGGGGAGCAGTATTTTCTCTTTAATTTATACCCTTTTCTGTACTGCTTGAATTTTTCAATATATGTAACATACCACTATTACAATAAAAATATATAGACTCAGTTTAGTTTAAAAAATAATAAAACCTGAGAGAGGAATTCAAAGTTCTAGACTTTTCATTTAAAGATTAAGAAATGGAAAAAAATAAGATAAAATACAATAAAGATGAAGAAATGGAATTCCATGAGACTGTAAGTCAAGGGTTGGCAAACTATAGCCCACAGGCCAAATCTGGCCCACAGCCTATTTTTGGGTTTTTTTTTCATATTTATTTAGTTGCACCTGGTCTTTGTTGCCACACGTGGGCTCCTTAGCTGAGGCATGCATGTGGGATCTAGTTCCCTGACCAGGGATTGCACCTGGGCCCCCTGCATTGGGCGTGCAGAGTCTTACCCACTGCACCACCAGGGAAGTCCCAAGCCTAATTTTTATAAATGAAGTTTTACTGGAACACAGTCATGCCTGTTAGTTTATATATCATCTGTGGCTGCAACACAGATGATATGTAAACAGTTGAGCTGAATAGTTGCTATAGAAACCATATGGCCCAGAAAACCTAAATCATTTACTCTCTTTCCAGCCTCTGGTATAAATGGTTAGAACACTAGGGGGTGGCATCACTGGGATTTGAACCCTCAACTTCCCATCCTCAGGACTGAGCATTTCTGCTTTTTCCAAATTCCACACTAGACACTACATTCCTTGTGCCATGTCTGAATTGTCTTTATACCCCTAGCAGCTAGCACAGTGCTTGGCAACAGAAGACACTCCAAGTCTTCTCAGTGACCATGTATTAACTTCATAATCAGAAACAAAGAAACAATCCCAAAGGGGACGAGAAGAGAGATACTAGGAAAAGGGATCTGGGTAGAATAGAGCCAACCGACACTCTCAAACACAGTGAGAACCCTGCAAGCCCAAGCTCAGAAGTGACCCAAGATATTCCGAAACAAAGGTGGGCCTGGCTGAGCCAGGAGTGACTTACTGACCTCTGCGGGTGGAGCACTACGAGGAAAGCCAATAAAGAATGCAATGAAGCCTTTAACATAAAAGACGGACATGTCAAGGAGGGAATGTTCTAGAAGACAAAGTCATATTTACCGTGCAATGCTGATTGTCAGAGGTATTATTGCCAAGCACAGCCCAATCAGTAACACCAACAGGAAGAAGAAATTAGAATTAGATGCTCTGAACTGCCTCGGAGAGGGTCTGCAGGTGTAAAGAAGACTTATCTAAGGGGAGAGGAAGAAAGAGGAAAAATTAAGAGCACAGCTTCCTTGAGGATAAATGAGCACAGTCATGTATTATAGGATGTAAATCGGTATAATCTTTCTAGAGTAGTCAGCAGTATAGACCAAAATTTTAAAAATGGGTCAAAAAATAAGTATATGGATATTTACTGCTACAGTTGTTAATAACAGGGAATAACTGAAAGCAACCTAAGTAGCTACCCAAGGGGTTCCTTAAAGGTTAAAGTGCATCTACACAATGGAAAATCACATAGCCCTTAGAAAAGCTTTATATCCTACATGGCACTGTGAAATGAAAAGGGTAGATTCCAAAACTCTGTACTGTATGATCTTGTTTAAGTTTTTTTTTTAGTATTTTTTTAAACATTTTACTGTAAATTTCTTTCTTTTTTTAGATTTACTGAGGTATAATTGACAAATAAAATGGTAAGATACTTAAGAGCGTACAATGTGATGATTTGAAAGAATTCGAAAAGTATTTATTCTCTACAGGGGTTTAAACAGGTGCTGAATATATACACACCACAACAGGAGATATTTGCTTGAATTTTACAAGCATATGTATTTTTCCTATATATTAAAAATAAATATTTCCATTGAGGGAAAAAAGACTTGAAGGAGAAATCAGGTGGGGACGGGGAGAGGGGTACAGTAACAGGCATCCTCCTTAACATTCTAGAAAGCTACAGCCTCGGGAAGGGGCATCAAGTTCCTGTGACTGCAGCAGCTGGAACATCTTGTGAGCCGAGGGCACTGAGCACCAGGGACACTTGGTGTCCTGTCCCCCCTGTGTCTGGGGGCAGGTGGCCAGTCAGACAGGGGTGTCAGAACTCAGTCCAGTACCTGTGACCCATTCCATTACCCCTACGCTATCTTTACTGGGCTATACGCTAGGAAACCACTGCCTAACCTATTTTCTGGAAGAAGAACAAGCTCCTCTGAGCTTTCTCGCATCCATCTCTCCCTTGGTGACTTCAGCCGATTTAAGTTTCCAAATGAAAGCATCAGAACATTCTTCAAAGGCCAAAACACCCAGGTAGAAAGCATGACCCAATTCAAGGCCCTGCCTACTGGATTAAGAGCTTAGGCTCTGGAGTGAGGTAAACCTGGGTTCAAATCCCAGGAGTCATTTATAAGCTGTGTGAGCTTGGACCAGTTACTTAACCTCTCTAAACTTCAGCTTCCTAATTGATAAAATATGGTTACTAGCAGTGCCTACTTCAAAGGGTGTATCGTTGTTATTGTTATTACTACGCTTATTACTTCCATTTATGAATCCTCAGGGCTTGGCATAATAGGTGATCAATAATGTCAGGGGTTATTAACAGAGGCTACCTCTGGAAGAAGGGATGGAATACATATCTGTATTGTTTAAATGTTTAATAGTGAACATATATTGCCTCTACAATAAAGAAAAAGTTTGGTTAATAAGCCCAGATAAGTTAGTCCTCTATAGAGCTACTTCAACCATTAAGCACTTAGTTCAGGTACAATGCCTAGGGCCTGTGAGCCGTTTGAGGAGCTACACAAATAATTGAGAACTGAAAATAAATGCACCAGCTCCAAAATCCAAACAGAAAACTACAAAACTTTAGTTAATAAACCTTTTGTTAAACATCACCAAAATGAACCACCGTCAACTGATTGATCAACTGCAACGCAACTCGTAGTTACATACAAAAAACATTTTTTAAAATCACAGGAGCAAAATCATTCTTAACAAAACTCTCAAAATGACAAAAATGCGAAAATCCATTAGCCTTTTTTCCAGAATAAAAATATGTATCAAATAAGGGATGCAATTTTGATACATCTAATGGGATGTGGGTGGGCTCCAAGCATGTGTGCCGAAGGTCTTGCAAGGTCAAGGATGGTCTCAGTTACTGACCCCTCAACCCCACCTCTCCTTACCTCTTTCACGTAAAAGATGATAATGAACTTCAAGGTTGCAACTGCAGGAAGAAGGGGTGAGAAGAAGGCTCCAATCCAGCAAATGGTTTGCCCATAAACGATCCCTAGAACATTATCAGGGATAGCAAACTCCTGCTGTCCCCAGCACTGAAACAGCTTCCAAGAGGAACAGTAGGTCACCAGGATCCTGGAAACAAACAGGACCATTTATCACCTGGACTACAGTGTCTGCCAAGGCCACAGAACCACATCCACAAAATCAGGGCTGTTTCCACACATACTTCTTATGGAAACTGCTTAGTCATATGTCTAGAAGATGCAGAATGCAGTGAACTCTGGAATCATTAACACCAGGGTCCAAGTCTCAGATCTACAGCTTATCGGCCAAATAACGTTAGATAAGGCTCATTCTTCTCATCTGGAATGTGAGGGCATTATAACGCAGCCTACTTCACTGCGTCGCAGTTGACAGTAAATGACACGGGCAGTCTCTGTGCTCTAGTTTGCCACTCAACCCAAAAAGTATTGAGCTACTGTGCATCCGCACAGAAAGTGGCTCATGGGGACCTACCACCCTGCACGCTACTCCCTGGAATCCTAGAAGCTCTCTACAAAAACCCTAGGACCAGGGGCCTGAGATAAACACACATAGCTGTTCACTGTAGCATGACCACATATTAGCAAAACTACTGGAAACAACCTAAAGGCCCAGCAGTAGGGGCTGCATCGACAAATCAGAAGCCATGGGTACAGTGGAATAACATACAGTCCTTAAAGCGAGAGAGGAAAATCCACGTGCCTTGACAGGGAAAGTTGTTCACGGTAGTTTGTTTGTATGGGGGAGAAAAAGCAAGCTGCGGACCCATGTGGATGTACCACGATCCCATCTGTGGGGTAAAAAAGAACTCTTCCAGCAAGACTGTGTGTTTCCTTACACATGTATTTATACAAATGTGTGTCTTTAGTTTTAAGGACTGCTGGATCTACCCCAAAGTGTGAACAAGGGTCACCTCCGTGGAGTGGGGTGGGATTGGGAAGTAGGGGTAAGGTAACAAAAGACAATTCTCACTATTCTCTGGATCTCTGTATTTATTTAAGTTTAAATATTAAAAAAACTTTAATAGGCACATGTTCACTTCATATTTGTGTAATTTTTTAAAAGGACAGTTTCTTTTTTAATGTTGACTTTTAAGGGCTTACTGGACTTCCGGCATATACCAGGAGAATTTGTACATGTGGGTATAAAAGTGACTAAGTGAACAGGGTTTCACTTAAGGCTCAAGGAGATGCTGAGAATAATTTTCTTTTTTAATGACAGCATAGTAATGACAATCCTGATGGTGATAGTTAATGTTTTGTTGAGTTCTGTGGCGTGGAGTGTTCTTAGTACTTTTATCTGCATTTTGTCATTTAATCCTCACAACAGTGCTATGAGGTGGGCACTGCTACTATTCCCATTTCACAGGTAGGAAAACAGGCACAGAGCTTAAATAACTTGCCCTCAGTCACATGACTAGGAAGCGGTCTTGAACCCAGACTAGGAAATGTGGCATCCACTGCAGCCCGGAGGGGCTGGCAAGACGTCACCCCACGGCAGCCCCGCGGAAAGCAGCACCGTTTCTGCTTCGTGCTGCCTTTCCATGGGGCACATCATGGACCAGGGGGAGGTGATGGCCTGGAGCTTTTCAAAGTCACCAATGGCTGTCAGTGGTTCCCAGGATGCGGAACCATCCAGCACTTAGTGAAGAGCAGCTGTGATGGGAAGCTGTGGTGGGGATGAGGGAAAGGGTGAGGGGGTAGGGGGAGATAAGAGGGGTACCCCTCACACTTACTTTCTAGGAAAATCCACAAAAAGGGTCACAGCCAAGATGATGATGAGGTCAAAGATCATCAGCTTGTACATTTCCTGCCCAACTTGGGTCTCCCAGCACTGAAACCCAGAGAGAAACGAGCCTGACTTGGAGCAGAAAAAGCCAGGTTCTCCCAATGCCATTTCCAGCCCCCGATCCTGCTGCCTCTGGAAGGCATCAGTGGATGCTCCTCTGAGCTCCAGCACAGACTTTGGTTTTCCAGCCCTTAGAATTAGAAGTGCCTGGCATGCCAGACTCTGCTACACAGCAAGAATGAGGATCGACTGGGATTCAAACCCTTGGCTTCACGGGCTGTTCTCTCGACCCTAATGCTACCACCCCCAAATGACCCACCGAGCAGGAGGCCCATCCCCGCAGCCTCACCGGGTAGAGTTTCTGGTTGTAGCCACAGAGCTCACACGGGTAGTTATCGCAGGATGTAATCTTGGAGTCCAGAGTGAACACCAACACACAGATGGTGGCCAGCCGCATAAAAACACACCTGCAGGGAAGAGGGTAGGAGAGAGGATGGGAAGAGGAGGGCTCAGGGCAGGCAGGCCCCTTGGAACAGGGCTGGGGTGCAGAGAAGCTGCCTTTCTTAACAGCAAACCTACAAATGGGCACAGAGTTTCTGTTTGGGATGATGAGCAAATTCTGGAACCAAACAGTGGCAATGGTGGCACAACACTGAGCATGTACTTAACGCCACTGAATCGTACACTTAAAAGTGACTAAGATGGTAAATTTCATGTTATATGTATTTTACCACAATAATTTTTAAATGGTAGAGAAAAAAACAGATCAGAAAGCTGGGAACTCCTGAATCCAAGATGATGTAGCCACGCTGAGAACAATTCCTGGAAAGAACTAATTGAATCTTCTAAGTATCAGCTTTGAGAGATGGCTGATATACTGAGAAGTGAAAAAACTACACTGCAGAGTTTCATGTAGATACAATCCTATTTTTAAAAGAAAACAAAACATGTGAACGTTGGCATGAACAATAGGAACCGTGAAGATGAGGGCTGCTGGGGGAAGATGGATTCAAGAGAGGAGGGCAGAGGGCTCATTTTTTTTTTTTTTAAATGCTTCATCTATTGTTTGGTTTGTAATAAAAAAAAGAAATGATATAGAAACATTAAAAAGTGTGTGGGTAGGGGAGCAAACCCACCCATCCACCTGACATACTGGGCCTCCCTCGGGCGGACGTGAGTACCTATCACCACCGAAGAGGTTTCCATAACTAAAAACTGAAACGGAATCTAATAAAAAGTCTGAATCTACATTTGAGGAGGGATACAGGAAAACAAAAGACACCATGACGAAGCAATGAACTAAATCCAAAGTAGAGAACATTCTATAGGACAAACACCTCAGCTTCTCCCACAAATCAATAGCATAATACAATTGGGGAATTCTTGAAAGAATAAAGGGGACTTAAGAGACATAACAACCCAACACAGCATGCTGCCTTTCTTTGGGTCTTGGTTTGAATAAACCAACCATAGAAAGCCCTCTGCAACTCCATCAGGGGACTGACTTAATTGTGTGAGGTGTGATGACGATTATGTTTAAAAAGAAAAGTTCTTGTCACTTGGAGATATACTGAGCTGTTTACAGGTGAAATGACATGTTGCCTGAGATTTGCTGGAAAAAATCCAGCAGAGTGGGGGGGACCGCATGAAACAAGACTAGCAAAACGTTGGTAAATAGCTGAAACTAAGTGATGGGCACACATGGGGGTTCATTATACTGTCCTGTTTGAAAATTTCCAAAATAAAAAGATTTGTTTAAACAAAGATGCAAATGCCATCTGAGACATTTGAGAAGCAGACAGAAAACATTCCAGTGTCACACACTCCCCACCTGGTCCTCCTTAACTCATGTGTGTTAACTCCCTGGGCCCAGCTTTACACCTGCCATTTCTTTATTTTATTTTTTTAGGAAACTGAATATTTGTTTAGTATGAGAAGAGACATTAGAACAAATTATAAAGAGTCAGTGGTAGCCCGCTGCGGGCCTCTCAGGCCGGTGATTTGCCCGCGCACCTCCATGAGCTTGGCCCACGGCCTCTGACAGCGCCCACGCGAGGGCCCCAGGAGCCGGCGGGCAGCAGTCCTCGCCGGGGACCCTCCAGCGGGCCCCGGGGGACAAGCGTGGCTCTAAATCCAGCACGTGCATATTGAAGCAAGTGAAAGGATTTAATATGAAGCACAGAAGCAGATAGTCGAAAAGCAAGCAGTAGTTGGGACACATTTAGTGAGTGGGGCAGCATTTCCTTCTCCCACTGCTGCTGAGATGGCGGAAATCAGTCGAGCTCAGTATGAAATGGAATACACCGAAGGTATTATTAGTCAGAGAATGAGGGTCTCGGAAAAATTAAAGGTAGCACCACCAAGTGCTGACCTGGAACAAGGATTCCAAGAAGGAGTTTCAAATGTTAGTGTGATTATGCAGGTGCCAGAGAGAATTGTTGTAGCAGGAAATAATGAAGACATTCCATTTTCAAGACCAGCAGATCCTGACCTTATACAGTCAACTCCCTTCAAACCTCTGGCACTAAAAACACCACCTCGTGTGCTTACGCTAAGTGAAAGACCACTAGATTTTCTGGATTTAGAAAGACCTCCTCCAACCCTTCAAAAGGAAGAAATCCATGCAGTTGGCAGGCTAAAAAGAGAGCGCTCTATGAGTGAAAATGCTGTTCGCCTAAACGGACAGCTGGTCAGGACTGACTCCATGTACGGCATTTCAAATACAGATACAACGATTGAAGGAACCTCAGATGACATGACCGTCGTAGATGCAGCTTCATTAAAATGAAAGATAATCAAACTAAATAGACGTCTACAACTTCTGGAAGAGGAGAACAAAGAACGTGCTAAAAGAGAAATGGTCATGTATTCAATTACTGTAGCATTCTGCCTGCTTAATAGCTGGCTCTGGTTTCACCGCTAGAGGTAACGCCAACTCTCAAAAATACTGTTTCAACAGCTGGAAATAAAAAGAATTTGCAAACTTCTTTGTTTCTGTCTTTGCATTGTATGCCGTTTTACAGTCCATGCCCTGAAAATGTATTTCTCCCAGAAAGGAGGTGGGGAAAGATTTATATTTGCAGAAGTAAAGGTATATTCTGTCGCTTGACTGTATATAGTTTTAACCAGTTTTGCCATAACACCTACTTAAAATTCTCCCTTTTCATGTTTTGTAAATAGGATCTAGTTCGTTTCGGTTTTATTTAAGGAACTTTTTTTGCCTCATCAATCTGCAGAGCTAATTCTATGAATGGGAGAGAAAAAAGTGTATAGGAATTGGATTTAGAGAAGTGTCTGTAAAGGAAAAATAATACTTTATATTGTCCTGTTTCTCAAACACTGTTAGATTAAACAGTTTAGTTAATAGACATTTTTGCATCCACATTTCAACATTAACACTACTGAAGTCATGGTCTGGTGTCAGATTTACTAAACTCAAGCCGCCTCATGTTTCATGATCACCTTCAATAAAGTAATTCCTAACATTTTCAGCAGTTTATCTAAGATGTGAGCAAAATGTGCATTTTTATTTTAGTTTTGCAGATGGTTTTCTATAAAGTACATTTTTACTAAGTCCATGTGTGAATGACTTAAAAAACTACAGAATAAGGTACAATGTAGTGTATTTAATAAACTGTCAACCAAAAAAAAAAGAGTCAATGGTAGCACACACAGTCGGTGACTGGGCCACATTTTTCTCAGCACTCACTCCAGCAAAAGTCTCAGGTTCCTACTGCAAGTTCCTACTGTAACTCTCGTCCCAAGGCCATGCATGGGCCTAGTGGGGTAGAAGCGTGAGGAAGTTAATGCCCCTGGGAGCCAGCCACCCTTAGGCAGGGGAGGCCAAATACTTGCTGGAGGACAAACACTCCTGCATAGGAAAAGTCTAAGATATTTTCCACGCAAACTCCCAGAGATGTCCCATAGGACTGAGCCCCAGTTGCAACTTGCCAAATAATATACCCTTTATAAGGTGCCTTCCCTTCTCTCTCTCACTTCCTCACTCTCCTGCTGGTATACACTTGTCTTTCTAACATCTTAAGAGCAACATGTCTTCCAAGGGCCCCACCCTATGCCCTCAGCTGTCGATGTGCTAATACATGAAAAAAATATAGACGCTCAAGTCAAAGAGATTTCCCTGCATATGCAAACTCTGATTCATTCATGGGGGCTGTCTGAAGGCTGAAGAGGACTCTTGGCTCAGCAGGAAAAGGTACCACAATGGATTAGCAATGTCTGCCGTGGGCAGGGGAGGGGACAAGTGGTGACGTGCTTGGCATGTCTAGGCATTACCTAAGGATTGTCAGCCGGATCTCAAAGCCTGGGGAATAATCCTCATAGTGGATGATCTTGGCAAAGATTATTGGGGTGATAAAATTGGCCAGCGTGATCACAATAGAAGGCAGGTACAGTATCAGGAGGTTCTCTCCAAAAACCATCTCGTCAATTTCCTATGAAGATAACAGAACTGGTCAGGAGTATAATAATTTGCATCACAAATGAATTGACCTTAAAAGAACTCAACTGTATGTATGTCAAGTCATGCTGAACACCTTAAACTTATACAGTATTGTATGTCAATTATATTTCATTAGAACTGAAAGGGAGAAAAAAAACCCAAACATGTTTAGCAAACAAAACAAAACATTTGTTTCATTCAACATGGCACCTAAAACTAAGCCATCTCCTTCCTTGGGTGTTCAAACGGAGGAACCATGATCTAGTACCATACTAGAAGAAAACTGAGCTCTACTGGATTTATTAAGGTGAAATAGAAAAAATCCATGTATTCTGTATCAATGGGCAACTGAAAGCATTTTCAAGGCTGAACTAATTGACTTGGAACAGCCATTCTCTTCTCCTTTCATAATAAAAGATTATTTAGTCACATATATGGCTATCTGAGATAAAACTAAATTTCCTAAGTAATTTGACTGTCTTCCTAGGTAAATGGCTCTCTGACTAAATTCTGGACAAAGGGATATAAGAGGAAGTGTTAAGTGCAACCTCCAGGTCCTGCCCTTGAAGGGAAGGGGTGTGCTCTCATCCCCTTCACTTCCTTCCCATTGGCTAGAATGTGAATGTGGTGAGCTACCCGGTACCATACAGAAGAAGACCACATTCTAAGGTGGCAGAGCTACAAGATGGAAGGAACTTGGGCCCCTGATGATTGATTTCATGAAGCAGAGCCACTAGACCAACCTGGATTTTTATTTATTTATTTATTTGTTTGTTTCGGCTGTGCTGCAGGACGCGGGATCTTAATACCTCAACCAGGGACTGAATCCGTGCCCTCTGCAGCGGAAGCATGGAATCTCAACCACTGGACTGCCAGGGAAGTCCCCAACTTGGATTTTTAAAACCACTGTTATTTTAGGTAAACTGAGGCCCCAGATAGTAAGCTGTGCAGTTGGGGGTTAGATCCAGGCAGTCCAGCCTGGATTTGAACATTGTAAACTCCAGGAGGAGGAGGAACCCCAAACACTCTATTTTGGATGTTTTTTTTTTTTTTTTCTATTGCAAGTGGAAACTAGTCACTCTGATTTTAGGTTCTCTGTCATATCAGCCAAACTTATATCCCCATATGTAAAACAGAATGATGATAGTATCCACCTGAGAGGTTTGCGATACACTTAGCATACATAACGTCCAACGGGACTAAAAGTTAAATTGACTTTCACGGAGCACTTACTTTTTTCATGTGTTCTTGAGAGAATATAGTCGCTCTATAGATTGCATAAAAGCATGCCGCTAAAACGGCCAGCACGATGCAGTTCAAAAACAGTCTCAAAGAGTAAATCCGTATCGTTTCTTCTGAGGTCCTTTCTGCTATTTTCTGCCGTATTCTTTCTTCCTCCAGATCTGCCTGAGAACAAAAGAAAGCTCATTTGTGAGCACTGCGATGAAGGGATATTTAGGGGTGGAAACTGGGACTCACCGTCATACTCTCCCTCTCGATCTTTAAAGTTTCCTAAATATTCATCTCCCCCAGGGATACCCTCCTGGACCAAGCCCAACCAGTTTCCATGTCTCCTAAATGAAGGCAGACCTTCTATTTAAGATTGAAATTAAACTCCACAATAAATGTGAAAACAGAACTATAACCTATTCAGGACATTACCTATATGTTACTATTACCTATATGTTATTTCTTTAAACAAATAATACACTTCATTTGATTCCTTCCATCTCACTTCATTAAACTTTTGATATCATTGTCTCCTCCTTTTTTCGGTGGGTTTGATCAAGATGCTATCTGTTACTCCTTTTCTCCTGATTAATCTGGAAATTCCGCTTTTTCATATTCTCTCCACTCCACCTTATTACCATAGCATTCTTAGTCCTATTTCTCCTGGTTTAAGAGATGTTTATGACAGGTTCTCATCAAGCAGAAAAATAACCGTACAAACCAACAAGGACCTACTGTATAGGACAGGGAACTCTACTCAATATTCTGTGATAACCTGTATGAGAAAAGAATCTAAAAAAGAATGAATATATGTATATGTACAACTGAATCACTTTGCCACACACCTGAAACTAACACAATATGGTAAATCAACTATATACTCCAGTAAAATTAAAAAAAAAAGAATAACAGTTTTCTTCAATTAGGATTAAAATAAGTTTTCTAAATTAAAATTTAGAAATTTTAGAAATTTAAAATTTAGAAATTAAAATTTCTAATTTTAGAAATTAAAGAAATTTTAGAAATTAAAATTTAGAAATTTAAAATTTCTAAATTTTGTTTTAATTTTCTAAATTAAAACAAAAACAAAAAATAGTACAAGGTGACGGGGGAGAAGGGAAGATACTACCTCTTTTCCCAGCCCCAGTTCACCAGCTTCATGCTTGGGGCTAAGGTGATCAACCCCAGGAAGTGGTTCTCTGCAAAAAGCTCTTGAAAACTACATAGGGCTACACAGCTAAGCACTGGGGACAGCCTGGCCCCCACCAGCTCCTTTGCAAGCTGTAACCCCACCTCCCGCCAAGAGAAAACTGAGTGGCACTCACGCGGAGCTCGTAGCGCAGGCTGCTGTGCTTCAGGTCCGCCACGCTGCGGCTGGTGATGCAGAAGTCCCAGCCCGCAAAGATCTTGTTGCAGTAACTCTGGAAGTGCTCCTCGCTCCGGATCAGATTGCTTTTGAACCCTTCCACCGACCTGACCCCAAAACACGTTTATCGTTCTTATAAGAAGAACAAAATACAGGCCCATGGATATGCTTTGTCTAAAATTAAAAAGTTACACATAGCTGCATCTTCCACCCATTTTGACATGCTTGGTCAAGTTTTGGATCGTTCTAAATATGTGGCAGCTAACCAGGCATCTCATTGTTGAAAATCACTTCCTTTCACCCATTCAGTGGCTTCTTTCACAGCTGGAATAAAATCCAAACTCTTTTAATACACCCTAGAGGTCCTGCGTGACCCTGCACGGCGCCATCTTTCCTCCCATAGGGCCACTCTGCTGCAATGACAAAGGCTTTTTTCCTATCCATAAACACACGAACCTCTCCTCCAGCCTCAGGGTCTTTGCACTTGCAGTTCCCTCTGCCCTCTCCTCTTCCCATGGCTGCCTCCTTCTTATTCCTCAGGTTTCACTCAAATATCCCCTCCACAGATTCCCCACCATCCCATCTAAAGTTGTGACTCCTGCTTCCAGTCAGTCTCTTTAATTTCCTTCACAGCAATAACCTAATCTCCAATCATCTCATTTATGTGTTTACTGCTTGTAGCCCCTTACCCTGACTAAATTTTAAACTCCTTGAGGGCAGGTACCCTGGCTGTCTTCCCACCTTTATATCCGGAATGCCTGGATATAAATATGGCCACTTTCCATGGATACTGGATACATGGATACATGCATGAATAAATGACTTAAATAGTAAAATAACCAAATATTGAGCGAGCGCCTGTTTTGGTCAGATGCCACTCTGTTGCACAAGTTCATAATCATTACTCATTCAAATGCTTTCCTGGAAAAAAATACACTCTGGCACTTGACATAAAAACGTCAAATGCCACACACTCTGTAGACAAGCCAGGGTATTTTTAGGATTTGCTACTGAGTTGTGAAGACAATAGAAATGAAAGGAATTATAGCAATCAGTTGTTCTGCCAAAGGTTCACAGCAAAGAATTTATGTCAGAACCAGCTGGGGTGCTTTTCCAAAATGCAGACTCCCGGGTGATTTCATATCCTGAGATTTTTAATTCAGTAGGTCTCATGGGTGGGGGGGGTCCAGAAATATGCTATTTATAAAGCTCCATGGTGATTCTGAGGTCTCACCCCAATTGAATGGTCTGATTTAGACCAAACCTCCATTTACAGGTGAGAAAGCTAAGATCTAGAGAAGGGAAAAAGTATTTCCCTAGATCCAAAGAGCTAGCGGCAGAACTGGGGCTAGTACAATGATGATGATGACGATGATGATTTTAATTTAATAAACGTCTAAGTGCCAGGCCCAGTACTAAGTTCTTCACCTGCCTTGCTTCAGTTAATCCTCCCAACAACCCTTCTAGGTGTGTGCGTTTCACAGACAAAGAAAATGAGGTTCACCGAGGTGAAGCCACATTTGAACCTTGGTCTCTTGACCCCTAAGTCCACCCCCATTGCCACCCTGTAGCACTTCCTCCTCTCCGGGTAGGCCGCTCCCCATTACTTCACAGCCACCCTCCCTGCAGGCTTCCCCACGAAGCAGTCAAGGCCCGGAGGTGCAGAAGCTTGAGCAGGACCCGGAGGCGGCTTCACTGTTCAGCTGATAAAGCTGCTTCTTCAGGGCCCCTTCCAAGGCCCCCGGAGCGCCTCTAGCAATGTGTTCCTATGGTCTTGTTTTGATTTTTTATCATTTACAAAAGATACTTTCATGTTCTTTGTCTTACAGACGGCCCCTCCATACGGTCTACACTGCCGGTCCATAAAACTTGGATCTGCCCTTGCGGTGAGCACACAACAGCAAAGCCAGAACCCCAATCAACCAACAATTCTTTACCGAGCATCTCTCGGCCCTCAAAATGAGCCACGGCTCCTCCTTGCCAGTATGCTGCCCGTTTCCGTGGGGGATGGACACACACCAGTTCATTTTCATCTCACAGATCCTGACTCAGGATACGAGTGCCCAGCTGGGCTCTGGGGTTTTCTCTGTGCTGGTGAACCCTGGTCTCCGTGGAGGACAGACTCAGACGCCAAAACCGTGGTCTCTTCTACACCTGTGATAAGGAGCTTCACAGCCCCATGGCTTATAAGCACTGCCCGGCTCTCACAGGCACAATGAAGTGGGTAAGAGAGGTGGCCATCCAAGCATTCCCCTTGGGGCAGAGACAGTGAGCCGTCCATCAGGAATGGGTGGTTCTCCTTTCATAGTGTAGCGCTAGTGCTGGGAAGCGGCTGCCAGCCAAGGACAACATTTCCCAGCCTCCCTTTCAGTGAGCCGTGGTCATGTGACTAAGCTAGAGCTGATGGAATGTGAGTGACGTTCATCACTCTCTTCCACACTAACCTGCGGCCCACTAAGAACTTCATGGGAGAAAGATGTACAACTTCTATCGTGTTGGGCCACTGTACTTTAGGGGATAGTTGTTTGTTAAAGTAATTTAAAGTAATTAATAATCCTCACTTTTCTTGGGAATTGGCACCTCCCACTAAAATGTCTGTCTACCACGTGAAATGCCACGTTCGCATATGACCCTAACCCACTGGCCACAACTGAAGGGTCAGAATTGGGTACCTGAATGAAGCAGAGCCAGCAAGCCTCTTCAAAGGATTTCTGAGCCTGTGACGCTGGGAGTACACATAAGGAAGCTGCCACCAGAAGAATCAGAGATGCAGGAGCCCTTGCTTTGGGTTGTTTTGAATCCATTCCTATATCCTTGTCCTTCCTGTAATTTGGAGTTTCCTCCCTTCCTTGGTTCTCTCAGCCACTCAATTCCCCTTTAGCCCAGTTAGTCAGAGCTGGGTTTCTGCCACTCGCAACCCAGTAGAGACCTGGTTAGCATATATACCGGATCAAAGATAAGGTTGGTGGGACTTCCCTGGTGGCGCAGTGGTTGAGAGTCCGCTTGCCAATGCAGGG